GTGCCATATAACTGGAGGAAGACCAGTAAGACCACTATGGGGCTGCAACATGCAGAATTTAAGGAATGGTGAAGATGCCAGGCTCACTCAGCCAGCCAAAGGAAGCAGGCAGGATGAGTTAAAAGAGCAGATATTCAGGATATCCATTCTGGATATCCATTCATCCAAAGGGGAATACAGCCATGAACAAAGTACACGCTTCTCCAAGATACACAGCAAAAGGACAATAGTGACAGTCAAAAGAAGAACAAGAAAGAAATCTCACAGTGACTGGGCTTTAGGGCAGGCTGTCAGTGCTGAACTCCATCTTGGGAGGTTTTCAAACTGGACTGGAGGAGGCCCAGAGCAACCTGATCCAACCTTGAAAGCAGCACTGCTTCAAGCAGGACACTGGACCTCGAGAGCACCCTCACCATCTAAATTTCCCATGATTGTATTACAATCCCAATGCTAAACCATACTGAAGACATAGACTCCATGTTAGTATAATCCATACTAAGGACAGACAGACAAACAACCATATTAAGAGTTGTGCAAGGTTAGAAAATAGGAATTTGTGAAGGATGTGAGTTGAAATTTTGGGCTGTTCTAAACTGGAGCAACTTAATTCTTAATTCTATAAAAAACTTTTCAGAAGCATTCACTTAGAACGTGAGATGCCATGTTACACACAGACACAAAAACTGAAATACTAGTTTTAAAAAAATCAATATAAACGATACATGAGGTCATTCCATAACATGTTTTTTGTCTTGAAAAGAAGTTTCAGTGAAACTGCCTAGACTTCTACCTTTAAAAAATGCTTCATCTATTAGTATGAATGATATTCTTTCATGTCCTGCATTATATTTATTTGGGAAACAGCAGACAGAAGCAGCTTTCCACACTGGAAGGAGTTTTTTATTTATGCAGCAGTATAATTTGGGCTAAGGAGATTAAGGACACTTAAACAGTGCATCTGTCTCCATAAATCAGGAACTTCTAAAAATCACCCCTTGAAAATAATTTCTTTTACTTTGATGCTCTTAGCAGCAAAAGGATTTTTTGCCTTGCAAGTATGAATCTGCAATACTGTCACACTGCTCTTTAGACAATTTTTATAAGGCTACTTGAAAATACAATTGAAATATTTTATTCATCTGGTGTATTGTGTGGCCTCTTAAACAAGAACCTTATTGTGCATCTAATACAATTAGTGGAATCTTAATGATTTTGTGGTTAAGAAAATTAGGTCTATTTTATATTGAAGTCTTTCAGTTAATTTCAATCCAAGCTGTTAAAGAATATTTAGGAAGACCATATGTGTAAAGATTTTAACAGAGTAGAATGGTATTTAGCTGGAAAATAAGTGAAAAGCTTGGTGTTAAAGACATTTCCAATAAAAGAAACAGCGTTTACTAAAACATACACCACAAAATGCAGGGTGCAAGTGTCATTTGTTCATTCCAAAGTTTAAATATTATATTAAGTGTTCACAAAATAAGCATTCGGGTTTTTTTCTTATTCAACCAATACTAAAAATTAGTAGATCAGTGATGTCATAATTCAATATTCTTTTAATGATTGGGCTTTTGCATACATTTTCCAAGGCAAGAACTGCAAAATGCCCATTAATCTTGCCACTGCAAAAACAGTACCTAGAGAAATGTGCCTTGCAATGTAAGGGCCTGCTTAAAAACAGTGTCCAAGTGGTCCCAGAATGAATGGAACCTTGAACTAACATGGTCAATGGCCATGGCCTCCTTCCCCACCCGTGCTGGCAGCAGAGTATGGCTGGGCCGTTTCCCAGGATCACCAACAACATGAACAGGCTCTTTCAGGATTGCCGGGAAAAGAGAGCAACTTTACTTACCTCTGAAAACTAACTTCAAACCTGATTATCAAACCAAGTCAGTTAAATGGCAAGCTTAATCAAGGACTAAGAAAAATTGGCTGAAATTGCTATTTTGTCTACTATTGTACAGTTTCCATTCTGTGGAACAATACAACTGTTCAGACTCAACTACTCAGGAAATATGGGCTGAACAAAATAAATAACCACTGTTCTTTTTTTCTAATCTTGTTCTCCAAGGTGCCTCTTTACTTTCAAGACATCTGTTTCATTTGTCCCTCCAGTTTGTTACTAGCTATTTTTACTTCTGGTTTCATAGCTGCCAGCACACTGTGCTGATGCATATACACAACAAGGATATAGTTCCTTGGAGGGTGGGGGAATAAAATCCACAGCAATTAACATTCCTTAAACTAATGGAAAAATTTATATCACTGTTACATTTTCAATTACAGGAACATAAAAATTCCAGCATAATTTCTTGCTGCACATAGAAAAAGTGTGCTATATGTTTTGCCAAATAGATATTTTACTTTCTCTTATTAAGCACTAGGACCTTAGTCATTCAGTCTTGTTTCTGTTGAGGTTTGTTGGGTATTTTTCATGGCTCAATTCAAAACTATGAAAACACTCCCCAAATTGATCAATCATATTTTTTAAAAATATAGTCTATAATTTATCCATATACACATAGACAATGGATTTGGCTTTTTTCTTTCTCATAACTTATTTTTTAATAGCAGCCAAGAATTGTAAGATTTTAGTCAGATTAGTCATGGGTGTTAAAGTTATTGGCAAAATACAGATTTTTTTTTTTCCTAGCTGCAATATCTATAAGAAAAGCATTCACAAAAGTAATCTGTGATCTGAAATGCAAAATAAATCAGCCAAGTCTGACAAGACAATCAGACTGCATCCTGAATTACTCTATCTGAATTTGAATTACAGTATGGCCAGCCCATTTAGGTAGTTAATCCCAAAGATGCTGGTTTCCTAATAATGCCACAAAACACTGCACATATACAAAAGAACACATTAATTGAAACTCAGTTACAGAACTGTGCTAATATTAATAACACTTCCTTTCACATCCTGATCATTTCATCTCATAGAACGGTACAAACCAACAAAAAAGCCCAGATCCAGAGCTGATAGGGTTAATCTGAAATGGAAGGTGAGCATCCCTTGAACTAATTAAATGGAGAAGAGAGGGAAATATCCCATTGATCAGATTCTACAATCCTATGTGCTTTCTCAAAGGAAAAGAGAACCTATTTAGGAACTCTGCAGTATTTTTTACCTTATCCCAGATTTAAAGACTGCCCTGTGCAATAACAACTACCTAAATTCCTAAGGATTCCTAGAAGAACGGGGTTTTTTTCTTTCAAAAAACACCACAAACCATTTAATTTTAATTTAAGGAATTAAATTAAAATTAAAAGGAATTTAAGGAAAAAACTGAAATTCATTGTATGAAAGGAAGGGAAGCACTAGAAGGCAGCACAAGACTCTTGGAGGAAGATACAAACATTTCCTAAGAAAGCCCATGAGACCAGTGGCAGGCTTCCACTGGTCTTTCCTCTGGTGCTGGGAAAAGGAAACAAGAGTTACCTACACACTCTCCCACCAAAGTATATTCACCTTTTCAGATGTACTGAGTAACACAGGCTCAGCAAGCCTACAATTAAAATTTTGAATGACTTCACAGAATTTTTTTTGTTGTGCCAGACAGATAACAGAGTGCCCTTCTTCATCACCTTTGCACAACAGCAGGCTGAAAACCTCTGCTCTTGAAAGTGAAGAGTTAAATATTTCCTTTGAAACCCTTCTTGGAGGAGGTTAAATTCACTTAGAAAATGTCCTCCAGAAAAACATATGCCAGAATGTATCAACCTTCTCTCTTCTGTAATACTTTTTAAAATTGTCTGTACTTCATAGCCATGATTTTAGAATTTTACTTGTCTAATAGACAATAGAATATGAAAGAAGCTATGTTTGCAGAAACTGCATTGTCAGTCTTTGCAGTGGTCTTAATTAATGAACAAAACGATACCCCTGAGACTCAATCAACATCCAATTAATTTAAAGCATAAATATTAACTGCATTAAAAGCTTTCATTTTCTCAAACAGAAAATCAGCAGCAGTAAATAGATATTACAGTTTGTAGCTTGTCCTCATCATAATTTTTCCTGAGGAATACAAGAAATAAGAGGTCATTTCTGCACAAATTCAAACCCACAAGAAATTTTCCTAAGGAAACTGATGTTTCATTCTATTAAAAGTCTGTACTACTTGACATAACATAAATATTATGCTTATTTTATTTTTTTTAAATTTGCATAGCTATCATACTGCTAGTTTGTGTAGATAAACCATTAGGTATCCACATAGATATAGAAAATATCATGTTATCAAACAGAAGTGTCACTTGATAAAGACCTCTTTAAATGTATAACTGTGTACAGCCCATCTTAGATTCTATACATTTTACAAAGCTGAATAATTTGGGGCACCCACTGTCAGGAAATACCGCCTGGATTTTGATTTTATACCAACAGCATAGTCTGCCATCTGTGCTGAAGTCCTAGGGTTTATGAAGCGTGAAAAAAGCCTGCTGTCCTAGACCCTAACTTTTCTGCTGCTATAGATAAAACACAGAAATTCTGAAAGGGCAACAGTGCTTCATATTGAATGACCTGGATAAAGATAAAAAAAAGAAGCAAAGAGACTGTCTTGTTTCAGCACAATTGGTTCCTCCAATTTAAAAATAAAACTCTATGTAAATTTAATGTTGCCATCTCACAAGGCATTCTTACTGTCCAACCAACAATCCCTGACTTGTTTTGGTCACCAGGAGTATAGCTGCACAACTAGGAAGGGGAAAGTCTATTTCTTTGATCTGTTGAGAAAATTCATTCTGGAAAGTCTTGGTTGTCTTGTATTCTATTTGGTGGGACATAAAGCTTTGGACTGTGTTGGACGGGCTATGGAGCCAAGGTTCACCTTTGCTGTAAGGAGGAGAAACAGTGGAAACAGTGGCCCCTTGTAGCAATCAGCACTGATTGAAGATATCACTGCCAAAGGCTGCTTTGATATTTATGGGCACATACAGCAATATATCAATATCTGCTACAAACCGAAATAAGCAGCATTACTCAGTGAACTCACCAGCCTGCGGATCTCCCTTTCACACTCCCGCTTTATTCTGTTGATCTCATCCTGGTGGGACTGATAAGCCGTGCGCAGGTCCGCAGCCTTCATTTTATCTGCCTGCATGATGTTGTTCAGAGCTTCTTCAAGCTGCTTTTTGCCAGATTTCAGCTCCAAGATCTCTTGTTGCAGCTTCATTCGCTCCCCGTCGAAGGCCTTGCGAGCCTCCTCCTTTGCCTCGCTCAGCAGCGCCGTCTTCACCTTGTCAGCCGCCCCGTCCCGCAGGACATTGACTGTTGACTGCAAACGCTGAATTTCACCATCCTTGATTTTCACCATTCTTGCCACCTCCTGCTCATGCTGCCGGATCAGTAGCTCTCTGACACTCTGAAGTTCCTTCATTTTCTCCTCGTGGAGCTTGGCTTTCAGTTCGGAAATATAGGCAGTGTGCTTATGCTGCTCCTGCTCCCTTTCTTGCTTAACCTCTTGGATTTTTTCTCTCAGTTTACCCACCTGGAACAAAGCATAAAATATTGATTAACATGCACCACTCCACTTTTTAAAGTCACCAAGGAAGCTGCCTCCAAACTGGTCTTAAAAACCAAAAGCAAAGACTGCACACCTCTCTTGAGTAAACTAATGGAGAAGCAGGGCTGGAAAAAGGCCATGTACATGTTAAGGAATCTGCTATAGGGATGTGCAACTGGTTATGAGTTCTCACAGATCTAGGGAATAAAATAAAACTGACCAACATGCAATCTAGTTATCTCCTTATTTCCTGTTCCAACCACACCAGACTATTGTTACCCATAACCCCTCTACTGTGCTCTACAAGCAAATGGAAAATTACTCAAACAGGGAAAAGACTTTATGTTTATGCTGGAAATACTTTTATTTTGGATTTCTTAATTTCTTAGCTATTTTAATGGGAAAGTCCTCATTATATAAGCCAAAAGAATTGGCCTTTTGAAAAACCAAGTCTACTCAATGGACCTCAGATCTCACCCCAAAAGTGAGACTATTCATGTCCCCAGACATTTCAGAAAATATAGGCCAGTGAGTCTAAGGTCTGGGGAGAGAGTCGTGGAAAAATATTATAGACTATTATAGTAATATCCACTGTGATGAAACCTCATTATAAAATAATGCTCAGCAGGCTACATGGAAAGCAATGCTTTTTTCCATGTGGAATTAGATGTTAATTTAGAATAAAGGGGGAAAAAGAGAAAGGCTCAGTTGTCTATTGCAGTACACCAGAAAGGCTATAATGTATTTTATCATTCATAGTTTCAGTAACATCTTTCAACTATCCTCATTACCAAGACTGCCAAAACCTCTATCAGAGGCAGAGGTTTCAAAAATTGTATTTTAATTTTCAATGACAATACAAACATACACAGCAAATAGAGCTTGAGGTTAAAAGAAGGCTACCAAGCAGCAAAATGTTATTCACTGCCACATCTGCTTCTATCTGTGCAACACAAAGCTGGGATCTGTAGTCATGTGATGCATTTAATTTACACTAAATTAAGCCAGAATTGCAAATTGATCAGATAGGTATCCAGTCAGGATCAACCCACCACAACTTGACCTGAAGTCTTCAGACACCTGGGAGAGCAGACTTTTCCTGTGCAAAAAATGTTACAATCCTCTTATTTTGAACAGTAGCTTTGAAATTACCAACTCAAACTTACCCTTGATTTAAAGAAAAGAAGAGACTGGAGCAAGAAAGGAAGGAAAGGTATCATACATTTTTATGAAAGTAACCCAGATGCACTGTTGACTGAACACCACCTAGGAGAGCACTATAATTAGAGCTGTTCAAAAGGTAATAGCTCTGAGTCAGACATTGTCACACACAGATTTTATAGATATTGTCACAGTTCCAGGATGATTCTGAGAATGTATCTTTATTAAAGAGAGATAGAAGTTGGGTTTCTTCTCCAAATGGTAAATCTGGCTATTGGAAATTATCTGCAGGATATATCCACGTATGATTTCTTTCAGTGGGATGACATTTAGCTCCAAGCCTACAGTGGATAGCAGTGATTTTTAGTGCTTGCATTAGGATACCCAATTCCATAGCAGAGTCCATGGCAGAGAGGTTGGAATAGATGATCTTTAAAGGTCCCTTCCAAGCCATACCATTCCATGATGCTGTAACAAAACTAAGTCACTTACCCACCTACCTACCATCAGAAGTAAATAGACTGGTTTATAGATAAATTTGAAAATGAAACAACACTCATTATTTACTTATTGCCTTACTGATGAGCCAAGAAAATTGAAATTAAATTGAGCAATGAAACCAACTAATGACAACACAAGGAAACAAACTGCATAATGGCACTTAAAAATACAGATAATATACCTCCAGAACCACAGGAATTTTAAATTAGTCATATTGCACATTAAGCATACAACTGAAAGGCAGTTTTCAATACAACACATTCAAGATTTTTTAATAAATGAGAAATGGATTTTGACATTTTGAGGGAGCACTGAGTCACCAAATTAGCATACTTGCTCAATTTTTCTCATCTTTCACTGAATTAAGCGAAAGCAAAGCAAAACCTATATGCACCTATATGCTGTCTGTGAGAACAGATATTAACCACTCAGAGTAACTGAGTACTATCATATATCACTAATAATTTTACATAAAAGCTTCACAAAGCGGAATTTAAACAAGAATTTTAATCCTTAAAAAAACCCTAGAAATCCATCAAAATCCACAAAAAATCCTTCAAAAAACACAGCATATTAAATGCTTATTACACCTCATGATCCAGAAAAAAAAAACAATGCATCCCAGTTCTCAAGGTCTTGAAAAAATCTTTTCTTATTACTGCTTTTTGTCAGAGAAGATGGAAAGTTAGATCTGTTTGTTATATCTTCTCTTAAATCTGTCCTTCCCACACCCCTCAGTCCCTCTCTCCTGCAAACTGTGCAGTTCTGTACTTGTCTGGCTTCCAGAACAAGAATGAAATGAAAATACAGTGTGGCGTTTTTCCATATGCCTGAGTCTCACTTTTTTTTGTATTATTTTTTTTAATATGAAGAAAGCTATCTCAGTGGGAATAGGTACTTTGGCATATTTGTTCCTAAATATTCATGGATCTCATCACAAGCATTTTTAAAACCACTGAGCTGACTGCCAAGACCTTGCTTATTCACTACAGCTCCTTGTGCTCATAGCACTGGACTTAAAGGTTCAGTCAGAGTGAGTCCTGTCCCCATTCATGTTAAAATAAGTAAAATTTTTGTGCTTTGGTCAGCTCCTTTCATTACTCATTTCCCAACATCTGGAAGTTTTCCAACAAAGCTTTTTCAGTAGCAGAGTGAGGGTAGTGAGCCCCTGTTCAGTTCATGCATTTCCTCCTCCAGGCTCTCCATAGATGGCAGCAAACCTGCAGTCCAGAAGGACATTCTGAATCCAACAGGGCCCCCAAAGCTATCGAGCAGGTGTTCCCAAAACAAGACACAGTACAGGGGAACTAAGGCAGGGCCACAACTTCTGCTTCACCCCTTAGGCAGCATAAATGAACCCAGCTACTCTTGTGTCCAATGGTCAGAACACCACCAGCAGGATCAACAATGATGCACATCCAAAAACGAGCAAACATCAATTTTGGATCAGGTATTGCATAAGCATGCAGTAAACAACTTTACAGAAAAGATTTCTTAACATGGATCAACAACCAATGAAACAAGATGTACTAGGAAAATATGTACCAAGTTTTGAATGTCTCTTGGGTAAAATTTTATTTCAGAGAAAGCAGCATTTTTCAGGCAAAAATTTAGGTAGGCTAAATTCCATTTGTGATGTCTCTCATCAATTACAAGGTTCCTTCTCAGATAAATCATTAATACAGGCATATACGTGAGGGAAAAAATAGTTTAGGAAAATTAAATTGAATAAATTGGCCCTACAAGAGTTTGTTACCTTTCCTAATACAGTTTATATCCCATGGGTCACAGAACTATCTGTTTAGCAGCTTCAGTACTTCTCCCTTACCTATATTTACACCAGTAAATATATCTAATTTACTTAGAATCCTCTAGGTACAGGTTTTTTTACTTTTTTGATACCAAGAAATAATTTTTCTTGGTTTTGTTACTATCTTTGAACTACAGTCTAAACAGGAAAAATCTCTATGGCTTTGATTTACTCATCTTGTCAGTCAAGGCTTCCTGTAAGTGCTGCACAGACCAGGAGTAGGCTGGGAAATAAACTACACAGTTCCAGTTAAATGATTTACAGCAAGCACCACAGCAAAGATGAGGGGAAGAGGTTGAAGATCTCCTCCCCCAGCTGCATCCTCACAGAAATGCACTCCAACACTGCAGAATTTACTTCAGGCTGCAATGCACACTTGGTAGGATTTTGGAGCACTCTGGCTGTTATCTCCTCTTTCCTCTTTCACAGATTTAATTTGTGAGCTCACCCATTTCTCTGCACACATTATGTGCACAAAACACATTCTGTCTCCAGTAACAACTTCAATACACTAGAAAATATTAAATTTTTAAGCTGAAGAAAGATGTAGAAAGGTGTACTAGAAACCAAGCTGAAGCAAATTCTATACTGAATATAGTGTAAGAAGACTGGTTATTGAAAATATTCCTGCAGCTGTCATGGTCATGTACTTACACCTGATTCTTAGTTGAATCAAGAGTTAAACTTGATGCTCTTACAGGTAAAGACTGGAAGTGTACCAGGGCTAAACACTTTCTAGTGTTCATGAAATTGTTTCTTAATCAGAGTTATTTAATGAGTCAAATTTATTTCATTCTTCTGTCCAAGGTATAAGATTACTTTATGTGCTCTTTTTAATACAACTTTAAAAATCATAATAAAATTCACATCCATATTTCTACATATAAAGTTATACAGAACAAAATAGGAAATAAAATAACTAAAAAGAAAAATTTACTAGTGTAAATGCAATCTACCAGCAACTCAAGTCTGCAAGAACAAACACTGAGACACTAAAAAAGAGTAAAATAATGCAACTTACTCACCTGTAAATTATAAAGGGTATTGGCCACTACTAAATTTCATGGTGTGTAGTTTTAAAAAGCTTAAGTAGTTTGTTCAACTTGTTTTAAAATTTGTTGTCATTATATCAATCAACAGCAAGAGAAGTTGGCTGAGAAAGTGAATAGCAAAACCCCTGACTTATCTGTTAATTTATCAATACCCCTGACCCGTAAGAGATTTGACTTTTTACTTTAGTCTGTGAAGAAGAAAAATTTCCAAGGCAACACAAATTTAGTTGGCTGATATTTTCTGAACCTATTGCATCATTCAAACACAAATTAAGGCTTTATGATTTCTTTTTCCTCTGTAAAAAAATAAATCTAAGGATTACATTTGTGATGGGTTTTGGGTTTACTTCGTAAATTAAAATGCAAAAAATAAGACCTTTCAAAGCTGAGTATCACACAAGGATGTTAATGAAAGTAGAATTCACAGAAATTTTGTTATTCAGGTGTTGCACATTTTACACTGATAACAAGAAAAAAGGCTAGAGCAAAGATCCTTTATATAAAGAGAACACATTTTCAGTGCATACTTTCTCAACTTGGTAAGCCTTTGAGACTCTTGCCACTACAGTATCCCCAGTCAAACACAGATAAATCCACCTGCACATGGATTATTCTCCAGAACTGCCTTGTGCAAAGTCAAATGCACTAACTGATTGTAATAAATAACAGAACAGAAATAATCTTACTGTCTTATCCATATTTTAAACAACCTACAGAAATACAAAAGTAACTGCTAATCTTCATAAATACAAATGTATTTGATGAATTAATATTTGATGAATCCTAGGTGTCCTCTTGATTACCTAAATACCAGTTGAACATATGCTAGGTAGACAAATGTTGATGAATTTGTTTCATCAGCAATCAGATGCATCATTGAATAGCTCAGAGCAATAACCTCAGCAAATCAAATTAGGACTCCTACACAGACAGTTTGCAGTTAATTGATATTCCTCATAGGCATTTAAAGTGACATGCCTTGAATAAAGTGCAGATTTTTGATTTTGAAGACAATTCTTTTTACAACATACAATTTTCAGTAACATTAAATACAAAACTCCCTTGTCAGTAAGCTAATGCCATTTGTATTGCTGTGATTGCAAATTTCAGTGATTGGATGTTTGGGGATATTTAGTCCCTTTTGCACAATATTTAAAAGCATTTACACGAATTTTAACTTATCAGTTGTTCTTCTGATTTCACTTCTCTGTCATGCTTTTCTTTTACAACTAACACATTTTAGTATCAAACTCTGCTGGTTGCTAACCGTGCTGCTGTTAAAAGAATGATCACAAAAGAGAGACAAATACCTTGGTTTTTTCTTGCTGAAATTCTATCTGGATGTTGGTCAGTTTAGTTCTCAGCTCCTCATTAGCAGCTTGCAGGGCGTCAGTCTCCATGTCGGGCTTCTCTCCCTTGGCACGACTTTTCTTTGACATAATTGGTTTTGAAGTTTAAAATAAAATCTTTGCTCCACACTGAGCTACCAGCTAGTGCTTTCTGCTTCTAGCATTTAAGAGTCATGCAGTGGTTAACAAAACATTTCATACGAGTCTCTGCCATCATGGGAGTGGTATCTCATGGCCTGGAAGAAGCAAGGTGGTAGGAACAGAATTAGGCTACAGCATTGAGCAGAATCAAACATCAGACTTAACATCCATTTCTAAAGCACACTGGATTTCCTTGAATTATACTATACTGCATAGTGTACCAGAGTTTGAAAGAAACAGATAATATATCACCATCTCTAAACTCTATCCACTGTATTCTGATGTTCACAGAATTAACAGTTCTGATTAATATAGCATATAAACACAAATTATATCTTATTCAAGACCTGACTAGAACCATGCTCAGAATTCCCAAGAGGCACAGAGAAAACCATAAATTAATTGAGGTAGGGTTTCAGTGGGAATAGTTTATTTTCTTTAGTAAGAAGAAAGTATTTCTCTCCCTAATGTATCAGTTATAATGCATAATTGTATTATTCGTAATTATCATCAAGTTTCACATCATCAGCATCTATTAAAAAGGTATCACAAAACTGGAAAAATATTTTAAAATGTTTCTTAAAATATCCTAACTATAACCTGCTTATGTTCAGGGCTGATATTGTTTGAAAAGCTACAATGGAAACAAGAAAGTATTTAACTTCATTTTCATTTCCCAGTATGCTTTAAGCTTAAAAAGTATTCAATTATTCAAATCACCTTTATGTAATATTCAAGGAGAATATCAACAGCAGACAAAGAACCCTAATTCCCATAATTAGGAAATCCCATTATTAATTTGCTTCATGAGTAGTCAGTATAGAAGTTTAATCTGTGATATTTTTTTTTCTCACTCTGCTCTTCTGCTCTTCTCTAATAACCCAGTGCTCCACAAGACCAAACTCTGGAACAAGTGCTATCAATGCTGAACTACTTTCCAAACCCATGTTTTCTGCACATTTTAAAATATTCACATAATTTATCATTAAATTTTTGATAAAGCAGAAAGGTTCCTACTTTAAAACTGAACGACATTGCTGGAGTATTATATTTCCAAGAAAATTTTTATCTAATTGCCATCAAACACTAAGCTGCTCTTTTCAACCTCCTACTGATGGGGAGTTATTTAGAAATTGTTTAGAATGAAAATCTGATGCATTCCTTAGCACATACTTTCCACAGGGTTAATGACTAATACCTCAGGTGTGTAGAGAAAAACGAAACACCTCAGTCCTTGCAAGCACTGGTAAACAGGTGGTGAGTTGAATATCTGGTTTAGAATGACAAGCCAAGTCAGATGAAAAGTGAACAGAACTCAGGACACCAAGTCTCAGTCTGTTTGATGATATTCCCATTGAGTTCTTTCATTTGTAAAAAGCAATTGAAAAAAACATGAACTTTACCAATTATTTGCTGAAGTAACTTAAGATAGCTTTTTTCCTCTCTAATATCAGATATCCTTCCTTTGAACTATTATGATTTATCAAGTTATCCTATTCAATAATTTTTTTTTTGTTCCTTGTATTCATATATGAAACATTTTCATATACAATCTATGAAAAAAACCAGGAACTTAAATACATTTTAATTTTGTTATGTATTAGAGCTACCTTACAAAACAAATAAACACTGGTGCTATTGTGATTTTACACATAGTAGCTGATTCAAGAGAAACAAATCAGCAATATTCTTACAGTAAATTTTAAAAAAGGAACTCTTTGGTGAGTAGAAGAAATGTGAGGAATTACTGTTGTTAATAAAGGAATTTCATGCTATTAATCTATGGAGTTTCTATGATGCTCAAATTGCATTTAATACTCAAATTAGCCTTAGAGCTACAGAGTTCAGCATTATTCTTTGAAATATTCTTCAGAATTAGAAAAACATCTCAAGGCATTGCTCTCAATTTTTTTCCTTTAACTCTCAACATTTGAAAATTGTACTTTTCAAGTAAAATAAAAGCTTAGACCCAGAACCTGAAGAAAATCATCCTCTTGTCTTATAGGCATTGAGGGAAGGAGAGTGGGGAGGGAAGCAAAAGCACCACCTTGGAACCAAACTAAACATAATACATTTTTTAAAACCACAAAACAAAACAAATAACCAAAAAGCCAAAAAACCAACCAAACAACAACAACAAAAAAAACCACAAAAAAATAAAACCAAAAAAAAACCAAAAAAAAAAAACCAAACCAGAAAAAAAATGCCAGGAAACAACCACCCATCAAACTGCATTGGTGGGCATAAAAAGAAAATTTCCATTTTTACTCTTCCCTGGATACATCTTCCAGCCTACCTATTTCAAAAGCAGGAACTATGGCAACACAAAGCCTATCTATATACTCAGAGAGGCACACAGCCCAGGCACACAAGGGCTGAAGCAGAGACCGCATCCTGATTCCCAAATGAAAGGCACAGAACCAGTGAGTGCCCAGATTCCCTCCTAGCTGACTTCCCACATTTGATATTTGGATAAGGGTCAGGGAGAAAAAAAAAAAAAAAAAAAAAAACAAAACCAAAAAAACCCAAACCAAACTTGTAAACATGGTAAGAAAAAATGAAAGAAAAAACACTCCACTCTAACAAAATTTTACTGACGCAGATGCTTCAACCAACAACCTATTTATTAACTCCCCATATGTCTGCTGAGAGGCAAATTTATGATGTCACCAGGATACAGTCCCACAACCACTCCATGACTAAAAATAGCCAATTCCTACACTCTGAGTTCTACACACTTCTTGCAAACCTTGGAATCATTTCAATTTATTTTATATTTCACATCAAGGAAATAGATAGAAAAGAGTAATGGATTCTAAAGCACAAGTCACGTTTTCAGCAGTCTCTGGAACATACCAAGTTTCTGACTTTACTTGAAAGGTAAAGGGGCAATTGTCATTGAAGAAAAACAACAAAATAAACAAACTTGATTGAATCTGAACCAACTATACAATAGTTTGGGGGATTGTTCTGTAAAAGATCAAAATATTTAACATTATTTCTCTTATAGATGTTTTGGGAAATCTATTAAATTCTTAACATACTAGAAAGTCAATCAACTGAACAATGCCCTAACTTCCAATTTTTCTTCTATTTGCTTAGTAGATTTAAAGGAAGCTTTTTATAACTACCTCAATCTCTTCCCTGATTTTATCAAACAAGACAAAAAATGATGTCATGAATTGCTATATGATTATTCTAGATGTTAAATATCAATAAAACATAATAGAAAAAAGAAAAATCAGTTACTGCAGAAACATGAAAGTGTAGCATCAAAGAATTTTGATTACATAAGGGTAAGGAAAAAAAGGAACCCAATACTTTCTATTGAAAAGTAAGTCAATTTAAAGAAATTCAAGTCTTGAAACATGATCCTGTATGAACTACACAAAAGTATGGGGAGAATTATATCTTTAGAGAGTGAGTCTTTCAGTAACAAACAGTAATCAACAGGAAAAGTAAACCCGTAGTATCAAGTAATAAATATCGATAACATTATAACACCAGCAATTTACTAAATTATATCAACCAAAATTCTGCATTCCAGCCTTATTTCAGACTTCAACAACATTACTCAGCTGCAGCACAATTTTTGGAAGGTGGAATTGTCAATGAGTCATCTCAGCTGAAACATCAAGCCATTATTCAGTAACTGGAGGGAAATAATAAAGCTTCTTCATCTCTCTACTGCACCTCCACATAAATAGAGTGTCATTCTACTTCAACTTTTTTTATTTCAACCTTTATCTTTTAATTCTGCAAAGCCTACTGCAGCTTCCCATAACCCTCACTGTGCTTGTGAACATGAGATGTAAGTACACTCTCAACATAGCCTAATTCTGTATACTCAATAAGTTTAACGTAAATTTTATTACCATAGCATCTGACAATAGTAAATGCAGTGGACACAGGTGCAATGTTAAGTTGAGAAGTAACCTGCAGTTTACCTATGTTATATTATAGTTTAAAAAAACAGTGATAATCCACCAGAGACTGTATGGGAAAGACAACATTCCTAGCTGCTGATGCCCAAGGCACATTTCTCACAAGGCTCAGATGACCTACATTTACTGCTTCAATTCTCAGTTCTGTGTAATAAAACATGACTGAATGGATAAAAGCAGAAGAACCTCTACAGGATGGTAAAATAATACTCATCCCACCAACAAACCTAAATGCAAATTATCAATACAGTTTTCTAAGTATATTGTAGACTGGCCAACTTTCTGATATCCCTTTGTAGCTACCTACAAAGACAAATCTATTTCTGTAACAGTAGAACCTTTGAGGGTTACTGTAAATCATAGCCCACTTAGGGAAATACAGAGTTTCCTTACAGTGGAACACTTTATAAATGTCACTCGTTTTTTTGATGGATAAAACCAGAAACATCTTTGTTGTTAGCTAACAGCCCACATTCATTTTTTCAGATTCACAGCCTAAAGTACTGAGCCATTCTTGCTTTAATAATATGCATTATAGGGCCACACTATACAGAAAGCAATCACCAAGAAACTAGAGGCATTTTTTCATTGCATTTTTGCCAGAAGACCTCAAAGAAACAATCCTGCAGAGCCATGTGGAACAGAGCTTTTCTTGGTGGAGATTACAGTGTAGCATGAGTCAGGCTTTTATGACACTCAGATTTCCACAGCAGGTGACATCCCACAGATGAGCACAGGCTGTGTAAAGCACTCAGCTCTTCAGGCCAGCTTAGTAATTGCTTCCATATTTTTTTCAATGGCACCTCAGCAAAGGTGATCTGTGATTTTGTCACTCCACATCCTTCAGAAAATTCCCAATGCCCTCATGAATCAGTACCCAGGTTTTAACTTCCCACCATGAATCACTGCCTTCCAGATCCTTATACAGCAGTTGATAGAACTAATTGGCAAGTTCCTAAATGAATTTCACCATTGTGTTAATTTTCTCTTCAGTGAATTGGTTGCCTGTGATGTGTGCATCTGTTAAAACATATGCAGCTAAAATATGTATCCAAGTCACTGGACACCAACAGCAACAACTAAAAAAAAAGAATAAAAAAAATTAAAAAAAGAATAAGCATGTCAAACTCATTTAGATGCTTTGCACACACACAAATATGTAAATGTGTGTGTACATGCTAGTAAAAACCATGTGACACTGAATTTTTATTTTTGATTGGTATTACTCCATGCCACTGGATAGCATCCAGTATATTAATGGCTTCATTCTAGTGAAAGGACATAACAGCCCACCAAAAACACCCCAAAAACTAGCTCTTAGTTTAAAATGAATTATCACAAATAAAGAGGAATGTCTGAGACAAAAAGGACACAGCATGAGGAAGGAAAGGGATCCTGCACCTCCCTTCTGCACTACACAACATTTTCATACACTTGGAGTTACTGAAAACTTAACCTGAATCCATTCTCAGAAAGCTATGAGCTTGATTCCAGGACTTTTTTAAGTAAATAGAAAAATATTTACTGACTTCAATGAATGTAGTAAATTATTAATATTTACCCAATTTCACTTATAGCACTGTTTCAAGGATTTACCAAATCATTAATCATTAATATTGCTCTATTAGCCCTCTTAAAAGACAAAATGCTACAAAGAGGAGTCCTGTGACACACATAAAATAAAAGAGACACTAGCACAGAAAGGCAAAGTTCAAATGCAACTAAAAATGGTAAAAGAGAACCCTCCCTCCACAACCTTCACAACTCAGCTCTGTTACACAAGCCCAGTGCTTTAGGGTGCTGGGTTCACTGCAGCTGAGAGAGGCAGCTCTAGGCAGAGCTGCTCCCCGATCTCTGGGCCAGTTCTTTCCTTTCCAGCACAGACAGACCTGATGTGATGGCTGCAGCCTGGCACAGTGCATCAGCCCTGGGACCCTCTCACTGTGCCCTGGGTCTGAGCAGGGGATCCCTCTGCTCCCACTGAGGAGCAGCATTCCCATTAAAGCAGAATACTTAGGAGCAAAAACAGAAGGAGGAAGAATGGGCAAGTTACAGCATTTCTCAGTTAGGGCTAGATAAATGGCAAATACAGAGACAGATTCTGATATCTTTATTGATTATCACTGACACCCCACAAATATAATCAGCCTGTCAAATTTGGGCTTTTGGATTATCTGTACCAGTTTTGTTTAGCTACTCACCTGATTTTTGCAGGAAGCTTCCTTTGGATATTTTTTTAAACCTATCACTATTATTATTGTAAAGAGACTAACTAAAATCTGAAACTAGAAAAATTTAAAATTCAGGGATGACAACTGCATAAAAAATGTGCAAGGACTCTGAAAGGTTTAGGGGGAGAGGTTCAGATTCCCAATTTGATGACTCAAGAGAGAGGAGGAACCTCAATGAGAGAAAACCTGGAGCTGTCTAACACTTAATTACATCTTGAATATTTATTATTTTGTAAAGCAACAGGATAGACTTGAGAGGTCAGGCAAGTGTGAGGAGGAGAAAAGGTGCTGCTGGATGTGATATTAGTTACCAGCTGAACAGTAAAGCAGAAGGGACATGATTTCATTCCAGTGTCTCTGATCTCAATAATTATTTTGTGCTGTTGGTCACCTTGACTAAGTCTGTAAGCTGCCTTATGCTGTGCCAGACAGCTCATCACCCTCTCACCTCACTGCTCCAAGCACAGCAGAGTCACACAGCTCTGTGCAGAGCAGCACCAGCCCATCAGTGAGAACAAACAAAGAATTACAAAACTTCTTCACCTACCAAGGGATGGCTCACTTTTCACACAACTTCTCATTAAAATCAAGATTCTTAGCCAAAATGAAGGTATCAGCCTAGTCCAGTAATACAGGAAGACTGACAAAAGAACATGCTGCATTTTTTCCAAATCATGGTCCATTTTTGAAGCCAAATTCCTCAGTTCCTGAGATCAAAGCAAGGATATACACTACAGAACTGGCAGTGCTATTGCCTTACTTTAAAGATTCATAGAATTCCCAAAAAGGTGCTCAAGAATTTAGGACCACAACCTTGTGTTTGATTACTGCATCAAGGACTCCTGCTCAGCTTCAGTGTTCTTGAACCCCACGTGCAAATCTAATTTCAAATCTAACTGGATAATTATTATTATTTTCTTATTGGCAACACACAGGCTAAAGCATGATGGATTTTGGTTCCATCTGCAGTTCTGTCAGAGATGCCTTGTATTTTCTCTAGCAAATCACTTATCTCTCAGTAAATTAGGCATTACACTTCCAGAAAGACTATCAGAAATGTATTCTGAGGACCATATTATGAAATAAGAGACTAGATACATGTAACGAGAAATGGAACTTAAGAGACTGCAATATTCATTGCAGTGAACAGAGTTTAAGTCACTCTGGGAATGGGCTGATGCAACTGCATCACCTGGGATAAAACATTTAGACTGGGTGTTTCAGCCAGACAGGAGCTTCTTTCCCCTCTCAGCTCTCTGACAGGGAGCTGTGCAATGGCTTCAAACCACAGGCAGTGAAAAGCACAGCTAGATACTAACACAGCAAGAGCCTGGAGACAAACCTCTGCTTCTCTCTCTGGTTAAACAGGACAAACATGACAAAGCACAAGAAAAGCACAGAATAGAAACTGTGAACTCTTTGTGCAATCATCTTCCAATATCTGCAAATAGAGAACGCTTCACCACCGTGAGAAGACTACAAATAAAGTACCCTTCTGGTGACTGCCAGCAAATTTGATTCAAACCATTCCAGACTTGTTGGAAATGTTGTTGGCAAGTTGGCCACCAGAAATACAAATGTGCTCTCTGACAAAACTAGAAGTTCAATGTGGCAGCCATGAACAGTTGCAGGAAATATATTTATCCAGATACATGTATCAACATCATAATTTTAAGGATAGTGTCCCCACAGAATATTAAAAAGATGCATTCAGTCATGGTTTATCATTAAAAAGAGGGAAACAGGCAGGTAGATATAAATATAAAACTCCAGAAATACTCTGTGACACACCACTACAGACTGTGACACTTCCTGTTGTCCAGATTAGACTGCCCCGAAATATTGTGAAGCTCAGAAATTAATCAATGCACAAACACACACACACACACACATATATATATGGAAATAAAGCTTCCTAAAAGCTTCCTAAATTAGGGATAATGTTACACAGAACCAGACTAATTGAACATACAACTTTGAGTGCTTTAGTATGCAAGCTGTGCATGCAACTTATGGGGGTATTCAATTTATGGGGCACAGCACTGCTAGCAGTGTACCCTAAACTGCTGAGTGTTGTCATGGTCAAGCTTATTTGGACATTTAGGAGGACTAAAAAGTGATTTGTTATTCACTCCAAAGAAAAGATCCTGTTTACCTATATAATGTCTCTCCTTTACTGAGGAACAAGATTGCATTTCACTACTGTTTCAGACAGCAAATTGTGAAGATGGTTACAGTGTTTTGCAGAAATTTGGGGCCAAGATATGTCACCTAAAGCTTAGAAAAGTCCCAATGGTTAAATGAAAAATGTTTATGCTTCATTGCTTCAGAACACAAACTCCTTGCCATGGTGCCTGCAAAGAAGGCTATTCTCTGGAAGGTCTAAATGGCTGTAAATCATCTGTGACCATAGACAAAAATTTTTATTCAAGTTGTATTATCATGCAAATTTGACACAGTTGCAACCCTATGTATGAATCCAGTTGATAGAAATTATCCTCATATAGTTTCTGCTATTAATTGATGTTCTTGGTGTTCAGTTCTGCTCCTCTTCCCCCCTCATCCCCTAGAAGAGGTGGCAGAGGGAAGCCTCAAATTTAGGGTGCTGGCAGTGACTTTACAGACAAACTTAGTCTTAATGAAGACTCAGTGGAAAAATATGGAAATAGGTATTGCCAAGAACTAGTCTTTCTACACCATCTCCCTCAACTTGAGATGAAAGTGTGAATAAGATTTTCCTTTAAGGTTAAGGTTATCACAGCTATGGCAGTAACACTAATTTTTCACCTCCTACATAGAAAATCCTTACTAGCAAAACTGAAAGCTTCATGTATATCAAGACTTGGATGTTACCTGTGCACATGAAAGGGGAAATGCTGAAGTGCTTCCTGTTTCAGTGAACAATGTGAAAAGTGGGAGTTCTTAAGTGAAACCATACTCATTCCCCTCCCAGCGCATAGATATTCAAATGGCTACACTCCAAACACATACTATTTATTAATTTTTTTGCAGTAGAGACATCTGGAAACATCACAAAGGTCTTAACTAACACTTCCCAAATGTTCTAAGGGATTAAGAATTGAAAATTTCTAGACGTTTGCTTTGAGATATGCAAGCCTCCACCAGTAAGAAAGTTGTGTTTCCTTTCATTGCCTCAGAGTATGCATTTTTAATTCTTACACTGATTGTTGGAAGTTAATTGAAATGCTCAAATACTCTCTGCTTCCCTTCTACTACAAAATCCCACATTATTGTATTGTGTTGTAATAAGATGCAGCACAACTGTATAAATATAGTATGTGCAGATATGCACAGAATGGGTTTCCTTCAGAAAAGATAAGTTGCAGGTGTTGAGATTAAAATTAGTGTCCTTCAAGATTTTCCTCCTAGAAATCAATGTTTACACAATGCTATGCATAAAACAGGATTTTGCCCACATGCATACATATATTGCTGTAATAAAATCCCATTATCAAAGCTACTTAATATTCAAAACACCATTTGGAGCTGTTGACATTACAAATTAATTGAATCAAAGAGCTGAGAAAAACAAACAACAAGCTAAAAGAAAGACAACCATAACTAAGAGAGAGCCTATTTATCAAGAAAAAGCAGCAGGTGCTGTAAAACTGGTATATCCTAAGGAATTCTCAGAACTGTCAAGTTTATGGCCTCTCACTACTGTTTGTTGAATGCACAACACATAGGCTACAGACCTCTCACAGTTCATACCTTTTTTTCCCATTCATACTCAGTTATGAACATACTAGGAGCTCCAGAAAAGACTGAAGATCTGCTGTGCTTTAATACTGGACAGCAAGCCTGAGATATCTGAGAGCCCTTTCCATGGTGTCAGAAAAGCCTGTTGAGTTTTCTTTTGAAGACCTCTTGCAAACACTCAGCACATAGATGATTACTTTTAGATGACTAAGTGCAACATCCCTTATCTTATCTCGACACAACCATAACCAGCCACAGACTTATCTAGTGACAAAACATGTGTGGGCATTCTGCCAGCAGCTGCACAGCCACCCAAATGTACTCTACCTTGTTACATTTTCAAGTAAGAAAACCTCTTGAAGCATGTTTTAAGTACTTGTTTTCTGTGTTTGGAAGATAATGGATCTGTAATCACGTGGCAGTGAACATATGTAATATTTGTATAGAGGATTAGTCAGCACAGGTTTTTTGTTCAAAGGATGTTAAGAAAAAATTGAAATGTGAGATCAATACCAAAGTTTATCTCAATTTAATTTTCAGTATTCAGAGAAAGAAGGAAAATATCAATCTTTGATAGATTTCATGATCAGTCAGCAAAAGCAAGAAAGAGCCACTTCAAAAAATGTGCCCGGTCTTATTGCAGGGCAGGCATGCTGCAGCAATCCTAAATTTTCACAGAAGCAGCCAGCTATTCTCTAAAGCAAAGTGCCAGCTCACAGCTGCATCATATAGCAGCACCACTCCTGCATGAATGCTTGGGTTTGCACTTCCAGCCTGAGGAGACACTTGGAACAGATCAGGAATAGTCTAGACAAATAACAAGACATTGACATGCAATAAATACAATCAAAAAGAAAAACAGGGACCACATAAGCAAGATTTTTTACCATAGCATTGGGAAAATGTGCATAAGCAATCCAGAAGATGAAAACCCACTGTGCAAATTTTCATAAGCTAGTTCCAGCTGTTAGGAAAGATACAGATAATTGGCACATGATGAAATCACTTTCCAAAACACACTGGTTGTTGAAGACTCATGTTTAGAACATTTCATCTTTATCATGCAGAGTCAGCTAAACAAACTATTAAGTCTAAATCAATTTTTTAATCTGTGGTCCACTATTTGGATGTATGTACAGGAACAGAGCAGTCTAAAGGACAACAGGGGAATAATAATCTTTAAAGAGCATCCTTTTGAAATTTAATAATTAAAATACATTTACCTTCACAGAAAGCCAAGTGATAATATCCATCAGCTAGGTTTAGAGTTCAGCATTTTAATTCTTTCTAAAATCAGCATAATTTACTTTGTTATGATTAAGTAGATATGTACATAATCTTTTTAGATAAACCTAAGACTGAAGTTTCTCATGCATTTACCATGAAGTGTTAAATCCAGTCAGAAGAAAAAGATGAACAGGAACAGAAGAGAGAATTTACTGGTCACATCAGTTTATCTGTTGCCCCCCCAAAAAAATTTAGTTACAAATTAGAAATTACAAATGAAAATAATTATTCTCTATAATGAAAGTTAATTCCATTAGCAAATATTATTTTAGACACTTTTTTTCACTCTCTTTGTTTATAACGATATACTACAATGGAATTCTGTGAAATGTTAAGATCAAAGACACTGCAATGAAATAGTAGCTGTATTGGAGTGTCACAGAAAACAGATGGACCCTAAGACTCATTCTATATCCTACATTTTTTACTTTATTCTTTCCTTCTTCATGACTTTTTTATTAACAATCATGCATTCTACAGCTGTCAGTTCCCACAGCACTTGCCTTATATAGTGTCATACTTTACTATTCAGAGAAGGAAGCGTTTACCATGCAGTATACTAAATATAACAAGGTATATTTCAAATTAAGCAAAGTTTGAGTAGCAAAGAGGCAACAGTTTCAATATGCAAACTACAAAATAGCCATTGGGAAAGGATATTTCCTGGGTTACTGCTGCTTTTGTTTACTTTCTGTACAACAGTTTCCTGGCAAACTTCAATTTCTTCAATTTCTCAATATCTTTCTAGATAAAAATGTCTTTTTCTAGGGATCAACAGCATTTTGCTGCAGAAAGAACAGTTACACAGAGTGGGGGTTTACTATTTCCTAATATTTCTAAGCCTAATAACTCTGTCATCACTGCAGGACTACCGCAAGAAGAAAATACCGAAAATTGGGCATGGAGTTAAACTGTCATCCTTACCATGGCTTTTTAATGGGAGGAACAGGTAATTTCAGATACCAGATCCTTGAAGCAAACAAAGTATTTTGCTGGGGTTTATGCATGGCATGCATATCTGCCGGCTGAATACCCAAACATGCACACATTATAAACAGATAAAACTCAGCAGAAGGTTGGGAAAGTCTGTCAAAGGAGCTTAGCTCTCTTGACTGAGACCAAAGCAACTAAAGCCTTTCTTCTTTACTCATGGTGACAAATACAGGTGAGGTAACACAGTGCTCAAGTTAGCAAGCATAGGATAAATACAAGACACTAAGCACCCTTCTGTTCTGCACATCTTAGATGCCATGGGTGGTGGTGGTGGGGAAACCACTTAAAAAATTAATTAAGAAATCACAAGTGAGAAAATGTTTTTATCAAGAATCTGTTCAGTGAATCCAGAAAACATCTCTATAAAGAGAATGAAAGCATCTCACAAAAAGACAAAAGCTTCATACAGATTTGGTTTATTTTATTGCCTGCGAAATCTGGTTGTGTTTACAAGTCTCTCTCAGCACAAAAAGAATGTCAAACTTGAGGCTTCAAATGATATTGTCTCTAATAAAATGATGGCATCATATATGTATGGCAGATTTATTCTCTTCCTACCCAACCAACATGCTGCCAATGCACAGTACCTTTCTCTTGTCCACAGGTTTCTGAGGCAGTTGTGTTTGATTTTAATTTAAAGAGGTGAAGACTGAGCAGCACCAGCAGCTGAGTCACAAGTTATGTTTGTTCTGGGACTTTGCACACCACAGCTCCTAGTCCTGTTGGAACATTCTCCTTTTCATCACCAAGGAGGGCTTCCAGAGCAATATTAGTGACATCATCTGTTAAACAAAAGAAGAGAGATTTAATACAAATCAGGTTTCATTAAAAGCTTTGATGATAGCAATGCAATGGAAATTTATTTACACGGGGTAACAAAATGCAGCAGAATAAGGTATCTATGAAATTGCAAGTGTGGCATCTTCTCTCCATTAAGAACACACATGGAATGGTGGCCTTTCCTAGATGCTCCTCAGTGAAAGCAGGATGGAAGCTGGTAAGATTCTTGGCAACTACATGAGGTCAATCCAGAATGCTACCTCTGTCTAGCTAACACTAAATTTGTATTCCATTTCAACACAAGTTATTGTGTTTTAGGATACCAAAATCGTCATGGTGGCTACCTATAAATTATCACATACAGATTGTCCACTGCCATGAATCTTTATAAATAGCAAGATATACCAACATAGGGAAGCTATTGTGTGTCATATTGAAAGGAGGACAAGACTAAATCTTAGAAATTAATACTGTGCTTGAAGGCAATTATCACAATTTCCTTTCTGAAAACAAACAATCAAAAGACAATGGACAGGGCCTTGATATTGTCTTACTTCATATTTCTTTTTAGTACTGCAATGTACTTTGATCACAAAGGGAAACAACAGAAGCATTTGAGATTTTGTTGATGTTCACAGCATGTTAATTTGAATTGGTATTTCCCATGCACAGAAAAATTTATAGAAATAAAATTATCATTATGGGGTATCTTCATGGAAAATATCACTCAGAAAGCTTAATGACTGAAAGCAATACAAGGTCCTTAATGAGTATCATTTACCTCAGTTTTCCTAGAGTCTCTAAACACCTTTAACTACACCTTTCATGGCAGAATGAAAAAAAGAAAGTAAAAAAGTACTAAATCTTCTAACTAAAAGAAGTGCTAAATCTTCTCTTGGTATACCCCTTGTGTTAGAGATTGAGGACAAGTGAATTGAAGAAGCCAAACAGATTTCAGCAATGTCTTAAGCAGACATGGCCATATGGGGGTCTCCAAAGCAGAGAGTTGGCAGACACAACACAGAACAGGTCAAACTCTTTGCCTTTGGGCAAGAGAGCTGAAAGCCAGACAGAATTCCACATATGAACCGTGCTGAAACATGATGGATATAACTACTACAATGTTCAAATCTTCACAAAAAAAATATATTTCACATAAAATACGTCAGGATTGCATCCAAGAGTATCAGTCACAAAAACATAAATTCAAAACCACTTTCTTCACTGGGAAATCCTGCATTTCACTCTAGGGGTTTGTTTAAGGCAACACCATGTATTCTGTTTTTAGTGGTCTAAAACCCTAATCCTTTATTTGTTCAATAAAGACAGGCATCTAGGTAGTGTTTAATGGAGAAAGGAAATCTGCATACCCATTTCCTTAGGGCCAAATTCACTGTTGTGATAGAATACTTTGAAAAGGATGAAAGTACAGCTAGGGCCAGATCATGGCAGAAGATCAAAGTGCTGAAACAGCTTAGTTGGCATATTTAAGTAGCACAAAACACTGGAAAAGAGGAATTCAATTTATTTATATAGTAACAAAGCTCCTCAGGACAAGCACTCTATTTTTTATGACGTCAGATACATCTCACTTTACCCCATCTTCATTGTCCTTTTTGAGTTGCCCTATTCTTAACTATTCCAATCTTGTTATTCCATATAAAAAATTTTGCTGCTTTCTTCTGGCCTTCAGCTAGCAATCTGAATACATTTGAATAAAAGGGAAAGAGAAGGTTTCCCTATATTAATATGCAATATAGAAACACCTAAGACAAAGCAAGAATTTACTTGTGAAAGGCCAGTAGACAGCAATAAGGCCAATAAGATGATAACAAAACAGACCAATACCCACAAGACTCAAAAGTGAAAAAAAAACCAGAAAACCACAGCTCCAAATTCCAAAGTTACCTGGGTAATTTGTCTACATTGAAAAACGTACATATTTTTAGAATATCTATTAATTCTGTAATACTAATACTTCTAAAAAGTAAGTTATTTGACCCTAAAAAGCTAATTGTTTAGATTAATTTTTTGAATTCTCTAGTAAACTTGGAAATAAAAAAATATCTTTTCTTTTTGGCCAACTGTCCTCACTATATTACAAGAGTAGTG